AAAAAAATATCCACCATCCTAAGAAACCCCAAAGACAAAATCGAATTAGAAAACCAAGGAGTATACGAAATCCCCTGCACAGCCTGCCCTAACACATACATTGGACAAACTAACAGAAGAATAAGCGCACGCATTGAAGAACATAAGAACTCAATCAAAAAAGAAGAAACGACCTCTTCCCTGGTCCAACACCTCAAAGCCACAGGACATGAAATTGATTTTAAAAATACCAGAACTATCGCCAAAACCGAACACTTCAACAGCAGAATAATCAGAGAAGCCATAGAGATAGAAAAACGCCCACACAGCATGAACAAACGAGATGACACCTCCCGCCTTCCAGCCATTTGGAAACCCGCCCTCATGAACAGACGAGTACCTAACATGAAGAAGGACACTGGACCCACACCCATGAGAGCCACACAAGATGCCACCACCACACTTCCATGTAGAAAACAGACTCCCACCCATTCAGAAAATGAGAAACGACCATGGACCAGAAGCTGCACTGCAGCTGCATCACTACCCACTTCAAACCCCTCTGAGCCATACATGAAGCAAACCAACACCCACTATGAAGATGCAGCAGGACCACGAACTAGAAGCCAAACAGCAAGATCACAACTCTCCAGCTCAAATCCCCCAGCAACTAAAACTAACCTGAGCACAACCAAGCCCCCTCCTGAACAGAACACGCCTCCAACCAATCAGAACACGGCTAACCCCCCAACCAATCAGAACACAGCCAAACCCCCTACCAATGAGAACACCCCCCCACCCAATCAGAACACAGCCAAGCCCCCACCCAATCAAGTTCCACCCCCACTGGCAGTTAAAAGGAGGAAGCAGCTGCAATCTCCATTACTCTGAGAAGCACAGAGCTGGAGACAGAAGCCTGAAGATGATGAATGAGACTTCATCGAAACGTTGCCTAGATACTTCAAATCTTACGCGGGAGAAAACCCGAACAACCAAAGATCTACATATATATATATATATATATATATATATATATAAAAATACATACATACATACATACATACATACATACAAACATATATTCCTATTGAACTATTTTCCCTTTTATGGGTGGCTACTCTATTTCTATTGTTCTGTATGTCTGTCTTCCTCATCTAAACAGATGTAGGTTTGCAAACAAGATTTTAGTTATGATCTGGATGGTAGCTGGAAGCCTGCCAGTACATTGTAGGTAGCAGCCAGCTTATTTTCTACATATGGTAATGCTTATATTTTCCCTGCACAGTTTCCCTGTACCCCTCTGAAAGTAACCTTCTGCGTGAGCAGGTTGAGTCTCCTACAGATGGTGGGCAGAACATTCCTGAAGTCCTAATGAAATTTGCCAGGCTTTCTGTCTATGACAATTATCTAATGTGCAACGGAGGGAACAGGTTTGGGAAGGAATGGGATGAATAAAGTATTTCAAGACATAATGGTGGTGACATATAATGGTGCCTTTAAATAATATTGATTTTAGACATTGCTCAGGAAGACTAGGTTTTATTTATTTAAATTACCACCAGGAAGAGTCTGTTTATTATTTTAATAAAGGAAAAACCACTCACGGTCTACTGGAACCTTGATACAGATTCATTGATTCTCCAAGATAAATGTAAGTTTCATTTTATCATATATAAACAATACAAAGTAGCAAATTGGGACAGGATCAAAAAAGAACAACAAAGTAACCAGAGATTGGGCAGTAAGACCTATGAAAAGCAACTGCAGAAGGGATATTTACATTTAAGAAAAGATTGTTGAAAGACCTTCTTGTTACAACTCTGAATACCTAAAAGGATGACATGGAGAATAAAGTCAAAAACTGTTTCCTATGGTTCCAGAGCACTGGACAATGGATAATGGATTTAAACAACAGGAAGGCAGATTCCAAATGAATGTCAAGAACTGTTCACTGTAAAAAGGTTCTATAGCAGAACCAACAATCAAGAAAAGTAGTCGAATCCTCAACACTGGATGTGTCCCAAGCAGAGTTGAAGAAGCCTTAATTTGGATTCATCTATTCGGTTGGGGGCTGGACTTGATGGCCTAAAGGGCCCCTTTATATATTTATGATTCTTTCAGTTTTCACCAAGCAATACCAATTTGTAGTCATCCACAATTTCTGTCTCACATAGCACCATAGTGGGAAAGACCAATGGTTTAAAAACAAACAACAAAAAACAGACTTTTAACATCTTAATTTATTTTTTTAAGTCCACATACAATTTAATTTTTTAAAAAAGTGGTATGCAAAATGAAAGGAGTTCTTGATAAGACTCTTCAAATACCTTATCAGTAGATTTAGCGATAGCATGCCACATATCTCTATCTTAGCATACGAATATGAGAGTTTATGTGTACATATAATACACACATACATATATTTTTAATTCTAATTGAATTAGAGCTGATTGAGTTCTTAAAGGTTTCACAATTATGTATTAGATTTCTTGTGAAATAAAATGACCAAATCATTATCCAATTTTTATTGAAAATCAGTCTGAAAAAAAAATCTGAATTATTGCTCACCAGCTCTCCATTCTAGAAGAGATTAGAGAAGAACCAGGTTGCATTGATAGCAGAGTCATCTATAGTTCACCATTTGTTCCCTCAAAGTCCTGGAAATGTATTTCTAACACTGCATTTGCCCTTTTTTGCAGTCACATCACATTGCTAAACTGGGGTGGGGAGGGGGTAGGAATAAATGATGTGAATCAGGACAGTCTGTTTTAAATTGATTATGATTGTGCTGCAGTTAAAAACCATTAGAATGGAGTATTTTGGCCTTGGGAATACAGCACTTATCTACTGTTCTTTCACGCAGTAGCTTCTTTTATCTGTCTCTCTTAGTGATTGAAGTCACCTCATTTTTGCTGATGATTCTTATTTCTAGTATTTTCTGTTCTCTGTATAAACTGTTCCGTCTTGTTTTCTTTGAGCAGGAGATCCTGCCCACCATGCATCTATGAAGAATCTCATTTCTTCATGTTTGTTGGAATCACTGTGTGATTTAATAACACTAAATGCCTTATTTCCTAAACTTGTAATTAGATGTGCATGTTAAGCTGAAAATAACACTTGTATGTTTTGTTTTGTTGTTTCTGACTTTTTAAATTATAGCTTGTGTGCTTGGTCAAAAAGGGGCGGGGTAGTAACATTAAAAACCTAGAGGACCAACAGTTGGTATTAGAGGGTTACTTTTTATTATTGTAATATTTTATTTTTTATTGGTAGGAAAGTGTTCAAGTTGTGAGATTCCTACCTATTTCACAGACTGAGGTAAAGAGGAAGAATGTTTGATAAAGGCATCCTTCCAGAGAGGAGGTAGCAACAGCAGAAAATAAAGCAAGAAGGCACAGCAGGGAATGTCAAATTCAGAGGACTACTGGGAAAGGCAGATTGACTTTCCACTTTTCACCTTACAGTTTCAGTTTATCACGACATGACATTAATGAATGAATCTACTGGGTACAAGCTGTAGAACAAAGAAAAAGAGTTAGCATGGAACCCTTATATATAGCACCTACTAAGGACTCAAGCTGTCCCAGTGGAAAGCAAAATTTATTATTTTACCCTCTGGAACAATCTCGTCTATCTAGAGTTCCCTAGAAGTCAAACAATATGTTGAGAAGACATCTCAGGAACAGATTGACAAAAGTTGGAAGCAGCGTATAAGAAGGCATCCAATTATGAGGCTGAGGGGAAGCATTGATGATACACCTTGATGCATTGTTACTGTTTTGCTGCTATTCCCCTGAAAGGATAAACACCTATTTGAAATAATGGGGTTTTTGCTCTATGTGAATATTCTTGATGGGCAAAATCACTCTAATCTTCTTGGACTTGGACTCTGATTAGGCTAATTTAGTCAAGGTGCCTCAACTAAACTAGTCTCATGTTAGTTTGATGATGAGCTTGAGTTTGTGACTCCTGATGTAGCAGCTAGAGATTTCAAACCAACTTCAATCACCTAGATCTTCCTGCATTGTTAGTGTGGCCCAGGAGGTAGACCATAGGTCCATGTGATGGTATCAGCTTCTTTGGAGGGAATGAGGTGATTTATTCAGCCTTGAAGGAAGTGGTGGTGTGCTTCCTGATCAAGAAGCCATCCTTGTACCCAACAATTTTGGGTAATTATTGATCTGTCTACAGCCGTCTTTTGGGGAGAGGGGGTAGAATGTTGAGAAGGTGGTTGGACAGCAAAGGATCCTAAAGGAATCTATTATCCAAACTTCTTTTATTTTGGTTTCAGGCAAGGAGTTTAGTTTAGTTTAATTTAGTTTAGTGTCATTGCACCTCGTACAACAAAATTAAATGCCATCTTCAGTGTACATTATAACTATAAAAATAAAACACAAACACACATCCTTCACATTCTATACAATTGAATTGAAAACCCCTGATATTGCATTAATATTGTGCTATACAGTAGAATTCAATGTGGTTACTGCCCTGGGATAGAAGCTGTTTTTCAGCCTATTTGTCCTTGTTTTTATTATTCTGTACCATCTACCAGATGGTAATAGTTAAAAAAAAAAAGGATGCCCAGGATGAGATGGATTTAACTTTCTTAAGGCAGCGGGAGCTATAAAGCTCTTCCAAAGAGGGGAGAGGGCAACCAATGATCCTCTGGGCAATGACATTAACCAGTGGTAGGATTCAAATATTGTTGCCACCGGTTCAGTGGCCATGGTTTGGTGGGTGTGCTTTGCATGCATGCACACACTTTACGTGCATGCGCACACCAAACATGCACTTTGCGCAGGCACAGAGGCATTTGCGCAGGTGCAGAGGCATTCTAATTCGCCTCCAAGCCTGCACGATCCTGGTCGCTTCAGCAGCTGCCGCGCAGCACTATTCTGTGCCACGCAAAGCAGCTGTGCTTCAAATTCAGCCGATAAAAGTGAGTATGGGAGCACGGGTGGGTGGGTGGGCCCAACAGCAGAGTGGCGGAGAGAACCAATTCAGTCTCCACTGCTCATCGCCCCTACTGGCTCACCAGAACCGGGCCGAATCGGTCAAATACCACCACTGACATTAACCCTCTGGAGCGCTGTCCTATCTGCCACTGTGCAATTGGCAAACCATACACAGATGCTGTAAGTTAAAATATTCTCTATGGTGCAGCAGTAGAAGGTCACCAGAAATTTTCCATTCAGTTGTTGTTTCCTGAGAAGTCTCAGGTGGTATAATCTGTGCTGGGCCCTTTTGACCAGTGCTGTAGTGTGGGTACCTCAGGTCAGTTCCTCTTTTATGATAACATTTATGAGTCATTATGGAGATGGATTTCATCATATAACTGAAGCTTTTTTTTTGTTCATACATAATATTTACGATACTTTGTGAACATCCCTGGTAGTCATCAAAATGTACAAATTGTGCAGCTTGGTCTCATTTTGTGAACTTTTGTCAATAGAGGTCCCACTTGGTTGATGCTTTGAAAAAAATCTTTTGAACCATGCTCTTCACAGGCTTCCTCAGAACCAGATTTCTAGTGGTTGATAGTTGATCAGAAAAGTGCCAATTAAGCTTGTGCACCTGTTAGTAAACTCAACTAATAAGAGGATCAGTATGTATTTATTGAAGGAGGGAAACTTGATATATTAAGTTCTTATTTCTGCCTATACAGTTGGAGCCCTTGCACTTTGTTCCTCAGTTTTACTATAAAAACAGATAGGCTTTAAACTGTAATGGGCTTTTTTATCTTATAGATTATGGCTGAGCAAGCAGTGGCAAGTAGCAGCCTCTCTCGATCCATCACCCTTGAATCTATTTCTCCAAATGACATACCTCTACAAGGTAACAATATTATAGACCAAGTTTCTTTAATTGCATGCATTTTATTATTCCTCACAATTACAGAGATGTAGTGAATATTCCTTATATTAGGGAACCACTATTCTTTTTCACTTATTCCAGAAAGAACCTCAGCATTGGGATGAAAGTTCGAATCACGAAGCAGCATTTTCGCTATATAAAAAATATTTGTTGAATTTCACCTTGACATTTGTTACTTGGTGTCTTTATCTTTGAATGGATTTTGTCTGACCTTCACAGACTATTATGTGTGGTAAATCATTTCACTGAATAGGATCCGAGGTCCCTCATACCTTTCCTCATGCATCATGAACCACAATACACAGTATACAGCAAATTACCCTATTGTCCAGTTTGAAAATGCACAATTGAATGTCCACTACAATTGTAGAAGAATTAAGAAAATGGGTGGGAAATCAGAGAGATGGTCAGTGAAGAACACATCTGCTGGCCACCTTTGCCACCAAAACACAGCTGAAAGAATTACTGCCAGACTGAAGTCTCTGGCAATCTGAAGAGGAGTTTCAGTGGTATTCTTTGTTTTCAAACAATGAAGGAACAGGTGTGCTCTTGACTGCCCCCTTATTATGCAATGCAGCATTTGATACCTCATATAAAAACTTCCATTTCTTAGATTGATGGCACTCTGAAGGACCAATGAATGAACTCAGTGAGACTTACTGTAGGATCACGTGATTACTCATCAAGTGCCATGTTTCAGTATCTCCTTATTTCTAATGCCTTAAAATTTATTCTCTGAACAACAGATTAGAACAAATCTGTTCTCTTTTGTTCCCACAGCTGATATATTGGATGTTGTAAGACAGTCTGTTCAGAAATACAAAGCTTTATATATCGGCAGCTTACCAGTATCTAAATCTATGGGTAGGTATTTCTTAATGAATTCTGCAACTTATGTTTATAGTTGCTTCATAAATATTGTAAGGTGTAATCTGATCTATTTTATTAGCCTTTCTACAGCTATGAAACGAACTTCTGCATTATATGTTACAATTGGTGGTTTATGTCAGCAGTCCAACTAATGAACCCAACAAACATAGACACTTTCCAGAACTTTGAAATTCCAATAGCAAAAACTTACATCATTTCAATACCAAAGAAAGCAAAACTATATCTAACTTTTCCCAAGCAATCCTGCATAATTAAAGAATAGATTTCTCCCCTCTTCCCACTGGACAAGGTCACATTGTCCAATTATGAATTGTCCTTTTGTTTTGAGAATAGTTGATGTCTTGTCTGACACCTGCAGAAGTGTCCTTGGTGGGTACTTAGCTCTTCCTGTTGAAATCTGGAGCCTCTGCATTCCATCTTCCCCTTCTCTCCCTCCAGTTCTTTGGCAAGTTGAGCAGTAATAACATTTACAGGAAGCATAAGCAAATTCAATCTTGACATTTTGGCCCCCTGGAAAGAAGGGATACCTACAAAATATCAAACAGATATTATCATTATGAGTTCATACCATTCTTCTTTACATCTCCCCCTGGTTTCTGAAGATATTTCAAGTGGAATCTGTTCATTAGCTGGTCTGCCTTAACATTGTGGGACCCATTCTGCTTGTACCCTTGGATATCCTTTCCATTGCACTAGAATGCAATTTCCCGTTGTAGTAAGTAGAATCTAGGATCCTTTTTATCTCATAGTATTCTCCCCCACTAGATCAAGCCCGGGGTTTCTTCCCCACTGGTCTTAACTGCGACTCTTAGGCTGGTTTTAATAAGCTGAAATGGAATACTGGATGCACATTTCCCAATATCTTGGGTAACTGTAGCTCTACTGTGACTGGACTGATGATTTTCACAATAGGAAATGAACCAGTATACTTGGGGCCCAACATCCTACAAAGTTGCCTTAACCTTAAGTATTTTGTGGATAAGTACACTCTTTCCCCCATCTTGAACTCCTTTTGAAGAGCTCTCCTTTTGTCTGCTTGTTGTTTTTACCCTTTTCTTGCTTTCACTAAGGCTTTCTTTACATCTTTGCATGCTCTGTTTAGGAAGTCCATCAACTCCTTGAGAGTTACTGAGGAGGAAGGCATAGGCATGAACTCCATCCTTGTGGTTATCTTAAATGGGGTGAAGCCTGTGCTGATACTCATTAAATTATTGTATGGTACCTCTGCAAATGGCAAGAGCTCAACCCAGTTGGGCTGCTGATAGTTAACATAACAGCGTAGGTATTGCTCTACCACTGCATTAGCTCATTCTGAGGCCCCATTCGTACTTGGATGGAACCTGGGAAGACCTTATCAGCTTTATTAATTCACATCAGAACTTTGCTGTAAACTGTACTCGTCGGTCTGAGCCAATGCATTTGGGCACTTCGTGCAGTCGGTAGATGTGTTGTACAAACATCTTAGCCAGTCTCTGGGTGGATAGGAGTTTGGGGCATGCCACAAAGCGGGACTGTTCAGAGAACAGATCCACAACGATCCAAATCACAGTGTTCACTTTCTGGTAGCTCCACTATAAAATCCATAGCAATTTCCTCCCAAGGTCTGGTTGGGTCGGCCACCTACTGCAACAATCTGGGGGACTTCCCTAGCCGTTGCTTCGTAGAAGTGCACACAGGACAACTCACCACATAGCTCTCTATGTCCTTCTTCATCTTTGGCCACCAAAATTGCCTCCTGGCCAAGTGTAGGGTTTTTACAAACCCAAAGCAATTTGCTTGGCGTCATGACTTTGCTGCAAGACTTGTGTTCATAAACTGTCAGGAATGTACAGTTTGTCACTTTTCCATGCCAAGTCTCCTCTCATCGTCATCTGGCTTCAATGGGTCCCAAACCACCTGTCTTTCTTCAGCACTTATTTTAACTGTTGTATTAAGGTGTCACCGGGGTTTAAAGGGGTTTCCCATGTCTGTTGCTTCATGGAGGCCTGGGCCGCAAGCTGCTTGAAGGTATAATGGAATGAACCACTTCTTCCTGAGTGCTCTTGTATTGGGGCAACCAGGAAAGCACATCTGCCAGGAAATTTTCCCCCTCCCCCAGAAGTATAACATTAGCAAAGCCTACAAAAATCTGTAGCTATTTTTGAGTTCGGGGGGGGCGGGGCTGCCATTCCAAAATGGCATTCACCTTTTCAGGTCCATCACTAGTCCTTCACATGACACCCTATTCCCTAAGTAATCCAGACTGGTTTTGTTAAATTCACACTTCAACAGTTTGGCATGCAGCTTAGCATCCAGGAGTTTCCTAAGTACTTCATGCAATAATCTCACATTCTGTTGTGGCCCACCAGTGGCCAGCGGAGCTGGTGGAAGACTTGGACAGTGAGGAAGTTGGGGAGGAACATGGGCCAGTCCTGGAGTCTGGGGAAGGCTCTGATGAGTGCTCTGCGTTGGAGGCAGAGATGCAGCCAGGGCCATCCAACAGTTATCAGCTGTCTTCGGAGTCTGAGATCAGTGGGGCAGAAGAACGGCTGGAGCCTGTTCCTGATGTTTACATGCACAGAGCTGCCAGGAGAAGGGAATAGTTAAGGAACAAGGGTCAACTCTGGAGTAAAAACACAGGTGGATGGTGAATGGCCCCTCCCATAGGGAATAAAGAGGAGCGAAAGAGGAGTGGTGTTTGCAGAGACAGTTAGTTTGTTCATGACTCTCAGAGACTCCTTGCCAAGTATTTTCTTCTACAGCGTTGCGCTTGGAAGCTATCGGCCTGGCAACTCTCCAAGCCTGATAAGGTCTGTGGTTGTAATTCACCCTTGAAAGACTGTTTGCTGGGACTTTGCTGTGAATGATAGGAATTTACATTAGCCTAATAAAAATGGATTTTGTCAGGACAAGGAGTCTGTTTCATGATTTTGTGAAGCTAGGTCAGGACACATTCTCTTCCATTATCTCAGAACAGATGAGGATGTCGTACAGGTATACCAGAATTCCTTTGTACAAATTCTCATGCAACATCTCATTTATTAGTTATATGAACACAACAGGTTCTCCTTTAGACCAAAAGCCATCACTTTGAATAGCACCCCAGGGGGCAGTTAAATGTGGTCTTCCACGCATTTCCCTTTTTAATCCTCACGCAATTGCATGCCTCCATTAGGTTCAGCTTGGTGAACACCTTTCCTTTGGACAGATACCCCAGCATGTCCTTCATGATGTGGAGGGGGTACATATTCTCCACACAGATCCTATTGATCCTGTAGAAATCTACACACAACCTCAGCAACCCGTTCCTTTTCTCTTTAAACAGCATGGGAGCTGCCATTCAGGACTGGATGAATCCCCTGGCAAGGTTCGTGACTATGAAGTCTCTTACCCACCCCCCACCCCCCACCCCCCATTTCCTTGGGAGTAATTGTGTACATCTTAAGCTTAGAAATTTCATCCCTGGTAAGATATCAATTGCACAGTCCATGGGTTGATGGAGTGGCAGAACATCAGATTCCTTCTTACTAAACGCTTTGGTGAAGTCCTGATATTCCTTGGGGATTGCAGGTTCCCTCGGCTTTGACTCAGTGGCCACTCTCATGTGCTCAGGCCCTTCCCTCCAATTACAGCTGGAGCTCACTGTGCTCTCTGTAAGTTCTGGGGTCCTTGGGCTCATCACTAAGTAGTTCCTGTCTCTCCCCCAACATACTGTAGTCTCCACTTCTTCAGCCAAGCCAAAACCAATATCATGGCTTCTGCCTTTTTTGGGCCACCATGAACCCAGATAGTCTCTTTGTGGTTCCCCATTATCAGGCTCACTGGCTCAGTTAGGTAGGAGATGGGCACCCTCCTATGATCGAGCCATTGACCTGCTCAAATTTCATGGGTTGGTGTAGTTTCCCCACTCTCAATTCTAGTTTCACTGTCTGCAGGCTTTCTAAACATTGGGTTCATCCTGAGCCTATCAGGGCTGTTACAACTCCCTTCACTCTGAGTGGGGCACTATGATCTCCACCCAGGCAGTAAAAGGGCTGATGGCTCCACTTACAAACAGGTCGTTCTCTCCCTCACTGTTGCTCTCATAGAGGGCCAGCTGGGCATCGGTGGTTATAGTTCCCTTCCCCTCAGTTGTTGGGGAAGAGACCTTTATGACTTGGTTTGCCACCTGTGTCTTTTCTCTCTCCTCCTTCAGTGCCTTCTTGGTCTTTGCCAGGCTTGGAAACTTCAGGGTCATCATGGGCTTGAGCACTGGGCAGATCACAGCTCTATGGCCCTCCTTCCCGCATTGGAAGCACTACCCAGACTCATGCTTTGGGGCCTCTCTCAGGGTGGAGAAGGAAGCTGCTGGGATCTTCTAACCCAACAAATGCTTCTCTTGGCTTTTTCTTGGCCAGCTCTTGGCTCCTCCATGCCTCTTATACTCTATAAAATCCAACTCCATGTTTGTTGCTGGCTGGTTCCATGTGCAGATGTCATCTGAGATTCTGCGGGGCAAGTAAATGTGATACAGCTCCCAGTTTAGGCTGTCATGAAAGTAGACCAGCAACCACTCTGGTCACCCCATCAGCTTCCTGGCAAGGCTCCAAAATTCGTGGTTTTACTTGGTCACCAGCCTGTTCTCCTGTTTGATAGTGCGTATCTCGGACTCAGCTTGGCAAATCTGCGTATTGTCCCTGAATCAGGCTTGGAGCTCATGTAGGAAGGCATCGGGGTTCCCCAGCTTGGAAGCTCCCTTGTCATGCAGCTGCCCACTCTGCTGTATCTCCCTCCAGGCTGGCCGCGATGGTGTTCATGCAGGCAATATCATCCGGGTAGACGGGTCCATACTGGTTCATGTGGCTCCATACCCGGTTCAGAAAAAAGTCCAACTTCTCTGGTCTCCCATTGAACATGGCTCTTATCAGCAGGGGTTCCAAGTGCCCTGGGCAAACCAGTATCCTGTGGTTCACTGCAGTGGGAACAACTGGGGTTGGAAACTCATAGTTATCGATGGCACATGAAGTTGGCAGGCTCCCCCATGTGGAGTAGCAGTCACCTCTCAGGGACTGGCAGTGCCCTGGCCTAATGCACCACTCTGGTGTGGGACAGTAACCTCTTGGGGGCTGGCAGTATCCAGGCCGCTAGTCCCCCAGCCACTAGCTGAGGCTAAGCTGTGGAGGCGAAGGGACTGTTGGGCTTGACTGGCTCCTGCCTTGGTGGCTTGAGCTATCTGTCATATTAGCACCATCCCCACAAATGTCTCTCTCAGTTGCTCCACTGATGGACTGTGTAATGTGGCCAGGTATTTCTAATCCACTGGCTTTTCCCATTCTGCAGCTCTTTTGGCCAATCCTAGGATGAGGGCCACCTGGGGAAACTCAAGGGAATCTTTGCTTCCGCCACCTTCCTCACTACGCCTCACCATGGCTCAACGGTGCCTGGGTAGAAGGATCCAGCCACTGCACCTTCATCCCATGTCGCCGGCTGCTCTGCCTTCTCCATTCGCACTTTAGACCGGGTCATGACCGCTTATCTGCTTGAGCCGTTGCCAGGGCTTCCTTTGTCACACCTGTCCTGGCATTCGTCACCATCTCCGTGTTTCGTTTTACACCAGACATAGTTCCCCAGACTCCCCATAGTGCTCTCAGAGGTGGCCTAGTAGGCTGCATAGAACCAGGGTTAGGAGACCTGATTTAATGTCAATAATCCAACTAATGCTCCCAACAAATGTAAGAAACTTTCAGAAACTTTGAAATCCCTAAAACAAAACGTTATTTACATCATTTCGGCTGACATCTGCAGAAGTCTCCTTGGTGGGTGTTGGGCTCTCCTGTTTGAAGTCTTCAGCTCTGCATTCCATCTTCCCCTTCCTTCCCCTCAGTTCTTTGGCAAGTTAAGAAGCGATTATATTCACAGGAATCATAAGTGAATTTAATCTTGACAGTTTATGTTTATGCTTTTCAGGAATCTTGCCAGGTATATGGAAAAAGGAATAATTAAGTTGATGAGATTCCTATGCAATAATGCTTTTTTCTGCACGCTGGATACACTGACCACATCAATAACACTATCCGCTCTGACTTACAAATATCTGCAACTATTTGCTGACCCAGTACATGGCAGCAAAGAGCAACTACTAACTCTAAATTTTGCAACTCAGATCTGGCAACTTGAAATGAAAATCCATTGGTTTTGTTCGTATTGTAATTTGTTCTTGAGTTAAAACCATGTTAGGGTTGACAGGAAGTAACAGGAATCAGATTGGGGCATAGATTTGATTAGGAAATGATTAAGGGACAAAGAGTTAAATACTGCTTTTCTTTGATGTTCTATTTCACCTTAAAAATTACATAGAAAAATCTATAATAAATCCCTTTAATAGCTGTTTGTCAAGAAATCAGTGAATTCATCATGTTGTCCTGCTATTGTGCCTGTTATAAGTTTCTGTGATGTGTAGCAGTTAAAGCTGTAAAACAGGGGTGTCAAACTTGATTTCTTCAAGGGCCAGATCAGCATTGTAGTTCTCGTCTGCAGGCCAGCAGGGGGGCAGGGAGAGAGGATGGATGCCAGCCAAAATGGGGCATGTGGGTGTTTTTGGCCTGGACAGCTTCCTGCAGCACTTTGCCAGCCAAAACAGGGCGTGGCAGAGTGCGCCTGTGTAGCTCGTTTTTGGTGGCAGAGTGCTGCTGATGGCCAGTGAGGCCAAAAATGCCCCCCCTCCCCATTGGCCATTTTGGCTGGCAGAGGCACTGCAGCCTGATGCTTTGATATTTCGAGGCTGGCCTTGAAGCTAGATTTAAGCACCCTGCGGGCCAGATCTGGCCTGTGGGCTGTGAGTTTGACATCCCTGCTGTCGAGTGAGGTTAAGGGAAATGGTAGAAATCTCAATGTTTAAAGTTACTACATTTCTTTGGGATACATAGATATTTCTCTCAAACTATCTGTTCTCTTGAAATATCTCAAAACAGATGGTTTCTTTAGTTACCTTTCCTCATCTTTGGCCTTGGAAGGAATCTTAAGCAGCAAAGTTGCCTTGACTGGAATAAGGAATTCAGACCCGGGATCCTGAAATTACCTATTCTTCAGCTAATGGTGAAAAATGGCTTGCTTATTCATTTCTTTCCTGCCTTGGCACTTTAGGGATTGATGTGCTAAATAATGCCATTGAAACTCTGATGGGCAGCCGTAAGCGTGAGCAGTGGATTCAAGCTGTGGTTAGCGTTTCAGATTCAGTGATGCAAGCAGATCAGACTGAAGTAAGACTCTTTGTGATATTGTACACAGTGGGATCTTTCTCTTCTCACCAAATATCTGAGTATGACCTTGCTATCTGTCTCCTGTATGTATTATGGCCCGCTTCTATGGCATATCCCAGAAACCGAATAATCAGCCAAGGAGATACTTGACTGAAAAACTGATAGTTGGAATTTTTCTCACCACCATTGACTGAATGCTATTACTTAAGAGTAGATTGACACCCTTTTTCTGCAGAGGAGCCAGAGGCCATGCTGCTGCTACCACCCTTTTGGGATGAGGTGGCAAACATTCTCTCTCCCTCTGTTGTGGTTTGAGTAAGCATATTTCTTTTTGGGACCAAGAGCTGCATGATTTTGACTGGTGGGCATATCTGGCCCATTGGCCATAGATTGCTGATTCCGATCAGATCTTGGTTGCAAAATCCAGATAATGATTGCAGGTAGTCCTCTACTCACAACTGGTCACTTAGTGACCATTATGATACCACCTGCAAGTCACATTTTGGGCACTTTGGCTACAGGGCCAGCTGTTTGCAGTATCCTACAGTCATGTAACCATGATTTTTGAGCCATGGTGACTCTGGTTAAAATATGGTATTGCGGTCTGACTCTGCCCATTGCCAGGAGTTTGATCCTGATGAGCTCAAGGTTGACTCAGCTTCCATCTTTCTAAGGCTGGTAAAATGAGGTCCCAGATTGTTGTGGGCAGTTGACATTTGTAAACTGCTTAGAGAGTCCTGTAAAGACAGAATATAAGTCTAAGTGCTATTGCTATTTTTATCATTTTTTCTGAAAACTGGCACTTACATGTATTACCAACTTTATAGTAAATTTATAGTTAGGTTTATTGAAATCTTACTAAATTTAATGGAATTATTCTCAGGTCAGAAAGCTTAATGTTCCACAGTACTGCTTTAATCTGTGCTAGCCATTTGCTGTCAGAATTAAAAGCTGCTGCCAAAGATGAATGTTTCAATGATCCATTGATTCCAGGGGGAGACAATTATAGTCAGTTATCCCATAGAGGTCAGTTGGATTTTAATATATTTAGGTTGTATATTACAAATCCAACTGATTTTCATTAGAACTTCCATTAATCTCTCTCACTGAGAACTTTAGTATCCTTAACATTGGTTGGGGTTTTATTTATAGTCCAACCTAATTTATTAAATATAAATTGAAAAACCAATCATAAATGTTAAAGGGTCATTCTTGACCTTCATTATCCTGTTCAAAAATATTAGTTTTCAGAGATGGTTGATAAATCCAGGTACAGTTACATCCTATTTGTTCCACTGGTTTCAATGAGCACTAAGTATTGCTTTCTGCAGAATGGAATTCACAGTACATTTACAAAACAATTCAGCCCTATTATGTTATTCTTCCAATAATGTTTACTTTTAATATGTTGCATTAAACTATAAACTAGAGGTTTCAAGCCCTGTCTGCTGGATTTATACTCCATAATGTGATTTGTTTGAATTTGCCAGGGCATTACATTCACTGTATCACATTTATGAGGCTGATGACATAATTCATTTTTGTGTTAGGAATAGGGATTTTAAAAAAAGAAAGTATAAATTTGATTTCTGTGTGAAGACCTAAAGCTTCCATCTAGTACCTGGAGAACAATTGGAATAAAATGCAATGAGTACTCTTAGTGTAATCTGATTGGATTGTTCTATATTCTTTAAGGCTGAAGAGGAGGAAGATCCCTGCATTTGGGAATGTCAAGTACGCTATGTGACTTTCATTGGGATTGGGAGAGATGCCCACACATTTGGACTTATTGCGGACATGGGGAAACAACGTTTCCAATGCACGGCCTTTTGGTGTGAACCAGATGCTGGAACCATTTCAGAAGCAGTACAGGCTGCATGTATGGTAAATGCTGTGAAAATAAAACAAACCAGAGCAGATTTTGGGAAAAGTATTAGTCTTCTAAAGAAGCTTCCTCTTAAGCTTGGATACATTTTATCTTCCTGCCATTCTTAGTTCTACTCCTCATCATACCCAAGACATTGTTTTCTGGCTCAGTATTCATTGCTCTTGAAATACTTGAAGATAAAAAGATCAAGGATCTTGTCAAAAAGAATAAATTGTTATTGCATTATTGCCATCTAAAGTAAACCACTTGAAATATGTTATTCTGTCTAAGTGAGGACTTCTAAACTATTTGCCAGAACCATTTCCTACAGCCTAACTCTAGGAAAAAGAGAAAGAAAGTTAGACCTTAATTAAACATTATGTGGCATCCTAAGAATCAAATAAATATTTTTGTTGAGATAGTTTGATATAATATTGTTGTGCATCATATCTGATAAGACAGTCTAGCCAGAAAAATCAGAATATCACCAAATAATTGAACTTAGCTTTAATCACAATATAGGTGAATTATAAAATGCCTGGCCAATTCCAGCTGCAGAATCCTTTATGCAATTTTGAATTAGTATTTTCAAATTAAATCATAATATTTTACAAATTAAACCAGTATATTTAATATTCTCCAAATAACTTACTGGATTGTACGTTCTTACAGCATCTTGGCTGAACTTGAAAAAGCTAAGCAAGGTTTAACCTAGTCAAACTGGAATGAGAGACAACAAGAAATCTTTTAGTCAACAGGAAATTGAATGAGTATTTGCCATTTATGTGATAGGGGGAAGATTTTTAAGACAAAAAACACTCATTAATTTAGATTTTTGTAAACCATGACTGGCTATATAACCTCTAAATTCACTGCAATTTATGTGTTTCTTTGATAGGTCCAGTATCAAAAGTGCTTAGTGGCATCACGAATGAGAACAAAAAGTAGTTCACACTCCATAATGAAGCTGAAAAGGACAATGTCGCTCGATTCACCCGTTTATTCATTTCCCATCACAGGACCTTCCTTGCAGAAAACCAGCAGTGGGGCCACAACATGCAAGAGGGGAATGTTCTCTTTCTTTGAAACCTTCCGCCAAAAACATTCCATGCTACCCACTTCCTAAGATGGAAACAAAGTCTGGTGGTCTGAATGCCCCTTAATGGCACTGTCCTCTGATGTCCGGGCTACAAATGTAACTAGCATAATTTTGTTTGTGAAACTCCTTCACTGAAGCGAAAAAACCAATACAGCCAAACAAAACTGGATCCTAAGAAGGATCCTGACAGATTCTGGACATGCTACGCATATTTCTTCCAGTTCTTCGCTACATAGAAACTCGGGGGGGGGGGGGGGGGGGGAGATGCAATGCTGCACGAAAAACATTTGAAGGTGCTGCTTGCTACTAAGAGCAAGCAACATCATAATCACTGCGTAAACTTAAAAGTCTTGCTCCAATTGCCCAGGGATTCATCTTCATTCAGTAACAACACACAACTTTTTTATAGTTGAAGTTATGGACATTAACACTGTTCCTTTCCTAGCTGTAGTTTGAACTCTTGGAATGTGACACTGGAAAACAGGCTCAAGAGAAGGAAAAAAACCTGCTGACTCTCTAGGTGCATGTTTGGTTTAATATAAATTATTGATCTGAAGTTATTCCTGGAAAATTAATAATTGACATCAATATTCTTCAAGCTAATGCCACCCAAATGTCTTCTGAAACAAGGACCTGCCGATAATAAACCCAAATGGTGCACATAATCCCAGTGCTTTCTAACAAAACGTTTGTAAGCAAACTATGCATGCCTAGTTCTTGCATACATGATGGTTGTTTATAACATGGCCATTCTGCCGGTCTGACACTTCAATTGGAAGCATCATCTAGACTCAGATCATCATTTGATGAGCCAACATTGATTATTCTTACAAGAGAGAAATAATAAAAAGGAAGATTGCTTTTTCAAAAGATGTAATATTGAATGCCTGTTGCACTAGCATTGTGAAAATGACTGCTAGATCACATATATGGGATCTATACAATGGATAGATGACACTGCTAGGAAGAAGGATGGATCTTCAAATCCATTTTTAGTTGAGTTTCATTCTTGATATAATTCCTTTTCTTTCACTTAATAAGTAATCCTGGATGAAGATAGACTCAAGTCTACCTCAGTGATACTTTTTATCTGTCTACATTGTGCAAATAAAGTACTAATATATATTACAGCTATATTTGCTTTATGTTGGTCTCTATCTCCTGACAATTCTACTGGTGCTCAAACGAGTGGTTGAATGCATATAGTGTAAATGAGCCAAGTTTTGCTGACTTGATCCAACAGTTTTAGACAAAGCTATTAGAATAGAATATTAGAATAGAACTGGAAGGGACCTTGGAGGTTTAACAGTGGTTTAACAGATTAACAGAGTTGGAAGGTACCTTGCAGGTCATCTAATCCAACCCCCTGTCCAACCCCCTGTCACTTTCAGAAAAGTGACTGTCCAGTCTCGTCTTAAAAATCTCCAGTGATGATGAAACGCCCATGATTTCTGAAAGGAAGCTATTTCACTGGTTGTCTTCACTTTAGGAAGTTTTCCTTTAATTCCAGGTTGCTTCTCTCTTTGATTAGTTTCCAACCATTTGTTTGTCTGGCTCTCTGGTGCTTTGGAAAATAATTTGACCCCCTCTTCTTTGTGGCAGCCCCTCAAATACTGGAATATTGCTATCATGTTCTCCCCAGTCCTTCTTTTCTCTAGACTAGCCAAACCCAAATCCTGCAATGTTCTTCATACGTTTTAGTCTCCAGGCCTTTGATTATCTAAGTTGCTCTTTTCTGAACTTTTTCCAAAGTCTCAACATCTTTTTTGTAGTGTGGTGACTGAAATTGGTTGAATATTCCATGCATGGCCTTACTAGGGTTTTATGAAGTGGTACTAATACTTCACATGATTTTGATTCTATGCCTGAACTATACATAATGATACAAGGCTTATTCTTATTCAGTTTTTAATAATGATTTCATGATTTTATTCAGGACAAATACATCAACAGACATATAATTACCACAGAGGCATTTGTCACAATTCACATTGTGAATTGTAGAAGCATTATTTTTAAAAGTAATAATTTTATTAATGATGTGTAACAAATAACCTAGCTGACAACTTTGTCATCCAAAAGGTAGAGGAGGGAAGTAGAGGGAGAACTATACTTCTTACTAGAAGTAGAATTCTTACTAAGACAGGAGAAATGATAGAGGGGTTGAAGTTGCAGAAAATTTGTGGGAGAGTGACCATGTCATATCATTCAGTATAATGTAGACCCAATGAAACTACTGGACATTCTAGTTTCCGACAAAAGGCCCCAGTTCACAGCTAATTACTTTGAAACTTTTCTAGCTGAACAGGGAATCCGTCATGCCTTGTCCGTGCCATTGCATCTAGCAATGAATGGTCAAGCAGAATGGATGGTGCAGTCAACCAAGGAGGCCCTAGCAAAAATGGGACCAGGAGAGTGGTAAGCAAAAATAGACAAATTTCTCCTAGTGCAACACATAACCCCTAGCGCCACCACAAATCGGAGCCCAGCCGTATTACTAATGGGCCGTAAACTCAGATCAAAACTAGACAGACTGCACCCGAATTACAACACAGAAGTACCCACTGATTCGATCAGCCAGCGCTGGTCATTTAATCCAGGAGATTTAGTGTATGCCCATAATTATACAGGTGTGGTCTGGGTCCCTGACAAAATAATTGCAATTACGGGTCCCTGATCTTACTAAATAGAAGTAGAAGATGGTAAGATATGGAGAAGACACATTGATCAACTCAGGGGACAGTTAGGACAGTTGGTACTAAGACAACCAGAAGGGGGGGGGGGGCAGCCCTAACAACTAAGGTCTCTATACAAGACAAACCACAAACAGAAACTCCAACTAACCTAAGCTCAAACCCAAATCTCAAATGCACACACATAGCTGAAGAACCAGGAGTCCAGCAAGGAGTCCCTGGAAATCTAATCTGGGTGGAGCCAGCCACACCCCACAGAAACTTGCAGCCAGTTCCATTAGCTGACTCTAGAGCTGCAGCAGGCCTGACTGTCCAGGCCACTGCTGCTGAACTGACTGAACTGCACAGATCAGGTAACCCCACCGTCACCCCACTACCTACATGACTATGTTAAATAAACTTCAGTGATTGGATAATGCTCTTCCAGGAGGGGAGGGGTGTTGAATATGGTAATAGGGAGTGAAGCTGAATGACAGGACTTCTCAGGTTTAGTTCCAAGGCAGGAAAATAAGATTTAAAATTATTGGGTGACAAGGAACCTCAGTGGCCGAGCTGTCAGACAGCTCTCTATAAAGAGAGCTGTAGGGCAGCCAGACCACTTCGTTGTACTGGTCTACTCAATAAAGAGCTGTTGTTACTATTGACTCGTCTTGCCTCTTCACTCAGCCCAATCTGACATTGTTCTTATGTTCTGTGGTTGTACTGAGATTTCTATCTTATGCTGGTCAAAGATAATAAAAAATTGTCTGGCAAAGGAGAGCAGTCTGTACAGGTGAATGGGACAAAGACTCCCCAAAGATGAGAGGAATTATGGAATGTTCTATTAAAGGTTACAGTATCTGTGTTAAACACGGTAAAATATGTTTCTTTAAACAAGGTATATAGATGAATGAAGGGGTGTCTGCAGGTTGTGTTAAAAAATAATTGTGACATAACTAAAAAAACAGATGGAACTTCGACCCCACTGTTGTGGCACCTTGATTTTTTGGACCCTGCCCTGCAAACACTCTCCCCACTCCCAGGAAGCAACTGATAGATTTGTCGCAAAGTCTCATATAACATTTTTCCAGGACCACGCTTACGAGCTAAATTCTCTGTTTTGTATTTTATTCCTATTTATTTGTAAAATTTATTGGTCACCCATCTTACCACAGGTAACACTGGGCGGCTTACAATGTAACAAATTCTTATTTGTTTTGCCCCCGATACCAACTTTTGCATTTTTTTATGAAAAACGGAACGAAATGGATGAAAAAATTTTTCTCGCTCCGTCTTTTCCTCCAAAAGGGTCTTCGCCCCTCAGAAGAACGCCTGCAACCTCCCTACGCGCCAAGGCCACCCTAGCCGCAATGCCCCACTTCCGGATGTATCAACCGTCACGGAGCGTCAGCGTCCTCGGAGTCGACGGCAGGGCCCCGCCCCCTCCTCCCCCACAAACTCCGCCCGGAGACTGACAGGAGGCGGCCACGTCACCACGGACAACGGGAAATGGCCTGTGGGAGAGCCGCTCGCTATTCAGGCAAGCGCGCCGGTCGGAAGTGCGGTGATGGCGGAGCTCTATGTCAAGCCCGGTAAGCTGCGTGGCGGAGAAAAGGGGTTGCTTGTTGCGCGAGGCTGGCGTCTGACCGCCTGTGTCTTTTGCAGGGAACCAGCAGCGCGGCTGGAATGACCCCCCGCAATTCTCCTACGGGCTGCAGCAGCGTCCGGCTCTTTCCAGCGGCTTGACCCAGCGGGGTCCCTTCCGGAGAAGAGTGGCGGCGGCAAGTGAAGGAAAGGAGCCCGAAACGGTGCCGCACGCCCCCATAGTCTCTAGGCCAGGTTGGGGACGGTTTGAAAGTCTGTAGAAATACTGTGCTATAATTGTATTGCATTTTATTTTTAAGTGTGTGGATGGCCTTTTTTTTTTTTTTTTTTTGCTTGGAGAGAGATGGTTACTTTCCCCATTCTCCTTATTTTGTTCTGATTCTTGGTTTCGGTCTGCCGGATCATGCTTGGAAATTTAAGTCTTGGCGACTTCGTGAACATATGTAGCTTTTTGGGCATCAGAACAGACCTCGCAGTGCCTCTTCCTAGATTATTTTCTGATTTTCTGATTTAATCTACAGCCCTGAGGTTTCCATTTCAATGTTTTTATTTATGTGCAGTTCCCAAGAATGGCCAAAATTGGGGTAATTGTATCTGATTCTAAGGGGTTAATATTTTCAAAGCAACTATGCTTAATTTATCTACCAGATTTTTAATTTAAGGCCCATTTTTTTCTCCATGCACTGAAGTGAATTAACAGTGTACACATCTTTCTCTTAACACAATCTGTGTCTACTTTTTCAGTTGGATTGCTTGTCCCACAGTCTGTGAACCTGCCTCCTCCTGGACCACCAACCTCTTTTCAGAGAGCAGATGTTACAACACCATCTGTTGTAGAGACTGACAAGGAATATGAGATAGATGATGTGCTTTCTTCCTTGCATGAGACTCTGAACAACTGTAGGAGCTTTGTGCAGGTGAGAGCTACCAGCTTTTCCAGGAT